GAGCTGCAGCAGCCACCTGCCCTATCCTATGCCTTGCACTCAAATCCAAGATGAGGAACCCCCTGCCATGTTGAATAGAGGGTGTGGGGAACCTCATTTTGGATTTGAGTAAATATAGTATACAGCCCAAGGTATCATTTAAGCCACATATGATTTAGAAAATACACGGTTTAGACAATAGGATATTACCCAGTAATCTATGCTTAAGTGAATTACATTCTACCTAGACTTTTCTTAAATCCTTAGTAATTCTCATATCATTGACTTAGTTCAAATGTCACTCCACTGGTAATGGAACTTTGTCCAAAGTCCATACTCATACATAAAGTGCTGAGGCACTGATCCAGGACATCATAGCACTTGCCAGCTCATCATGGAGGGACAATGTTCTTATGCTAACACTCAAACTGTTTGGGAGATCAGATTTGAATGGGGTTTTTGAAGGCCCTTATCACTGGGCCTTTTCTCCTCTCTTTAGCTGCACTGTTTTGTTGTACAGACTGCTTTTGTTGATGTAAGAGTATTGTCAATGGATCAAAGAGTAGAATGTCTTTATTATTAAAATGATCATAAAACCTGACATGGCGTATCTGCTACTAAACCCCTAGTTCCAACACATACTGTCGTTATATCTTTGGTACCCTTTGTTTTAGAGACAAAGCAAGATTACCATAGAATTAAATATTTTAGGTATACTTCAATTTTATAAACCATTATAAAATGTGTGTGGGGGTCATATTTTTAGCCATTTCTTAAAATAACTAATTGTAGCTTAACTTTTATTTACATGTTGTTAACAACTAATACCCAAAAGAAGCAGTTCCTGCTAAAAATAAACACCTGGAATCATTAGGGCACTACAATAGAAACATATCAAAAAGGAAATTAAATCTTTGAAATAGTCCCCATTAAAAATAGTTCCATGGCAGGAAATGAAATACAAAATAAAACTATTCTAAGCCAGATGCTATAGAAAAACAAACTATGACATCATTCCCCTACATAGATAGAACAGTTGGATGGGAGGGATATCACCAGTGAATTCAAAGGTGAATTCACTGAGGGGAGAACATCTGCACACAGACATCCCTAATAACTATTTTGGGTAGTTCATACAGCTGGTTTTGCTAGCTACCAGTGCCAAACAGTTCCTTTGGAGCATATACACTTGGGTCTACATTTTTTCTGTGCAGGATAAGCCAGGGGCATCCAGCTAAGCAAGCTATTAACAGCATCTAGTGGTGAAGAGTCTTTTTAAAGCATTTATATAATTCAGAATAACAGTTGGTTTTGGGCTGTACACAGATATGAGGCAAGGGATTTCATTTCCCAACAGATTCAAAGAAAAAACTCATTAACATCAGCGGAGGCTTGGTCGTGAGATGAGGGGCAAATGTCTCAAAATGAGCTTTAACTTTGTGTCCTGCCATAAGGCAGTAGTAAAAGTAAATTGCAAAATGCTGTACCCACTGGATACATCTACACATGCATTTGCTGGGGCACTAGTTTACTAGAGAGACTACTGCTACTGTGCTGTTAAGTGTCTCACGTAGATTAGGGCCAGCCCATCCTATCCTTAAACCTGCAGCATCCTTATAGGCTCAGCAGTGCTACACTGGCTAGCACTACGGAAGAAAGAGACTTGGGGGTCATCACTGACCACAAGATGAACATGAGCCTGCAATGTGATGCTGCGGCTAGTAAAGCGACCAAAATGCTGGCTTGCATCCATAGATGCTGCTCAAGCAAATCCTGGGATATCATTCTCCCCTTGTACTCGGCCTTGGTGAGGCCGCAGCTGGAGTACTGCATCCAGTTTTGGGCTCCACAATTCAAAAAGGATGTGGAGAAGCTTGAGAGAGTCCAGAGAAGAGCCACGCGCATGATCAGAGGTCAGGAAAACAGACCTTATGACAACAGGCTGAGAGCCATGGGGCTCTTTAGCCTGGAAAAGCGCAGGCTTAGGGGTGATCTGAAGGCCACCTACAAGTTTATCAAGGGTGACCATCAGTATCTGGGGGAACGTTTGTTCACCAGAGCGCCCCAAGGGATGACGAGGTTGAATGGTTACAAACTACTGCAAGACCATTTCAGGCTGGACATAAGGAAGAGTTTCTTTACTGTCCAAGCCCCCAAGTTCTGGAATAGCCTGCCATTGGAGGTGGTTCAAGCACATACATTGAACACCTTCAGGAGTAAATTGGATGCTTATCTTGCGGGGATCCTATGACCCCAGCTGACTTCCTGCCCTTCGGGTGGGGGGATGGACTCGATGAACTTCCGAGGTCCCTTCCAGCCCTAATGTCTATGAAATCTATGAAATCTATCCTGCAAAACCTATGGCTGCAGGGGTCTCACAGCCAAGGGGCCCCCTGCATCCAGTCACTCACCACCCCATCCCTGCCATCAGCTTCACGTCCGGCTGCTCACCACCCCCTGCCCCCTGGCTTCTTTGCGTCAGGGGGCCCCAAAACTATATCTTGCAGGGGGCCCCAAAAAATTGTGGGCCGACCCTGCACTGAATATTTTCCATAAACTATCACTATAATATCTGATTCGGCTATGTGATCCAATTTACAAAACTTTCCACAAGAAAATCCCTACTTTGATAAGATATGGCATTCGTATTTCAGGAAGAAGTGTTTAGTATTTGGAGATTCAGGAAAGGTTTTGAAATCAGTTTAATAAAATAGAGTTATAAGCTGAGCCTTTATTATGGAGCAACTGCCGCAGGTCTGTAAGTGTATTACATGGCACATAGCAGGATAGTATAAATATGCAATATACAATGCATATTGAATTATTTAGCAGTACTCCACAGCACAGGAAGTAGAGCTATTACACAACAATACACCACAAAACCCCCTAATTCAGGTATATCTACTATGAACACAAAGCCAAATCAAAGAACAAATGCTATAAAATGGTGAATTGTCATTAATCAAGTTCCAATTAAATCTATCCAACAGCGCAGCAGTGGGCTGAAGCTGGCTGTCCAAAGATCCCAAATTATTAGTACTGAAACCTAAATGAAAACAACAAAAATGTCCTGTTTATTACCTTTAAGTATCTTCGCTCTGTCGACTTCTCTGTGCAATGAGACATTCACTTCCTAACTCTGTACTTATTTGAGAATTCATGCTGTGCTTACTGCAATTACTGACGAAGTGCAGACCCTTCTATTTTTCTCTAGCTATTCACTGGTTCCGTTGATAAATTACAAGGAAATTTATTTTTATACAAGTGCACAATCCTAAATGTAAATGTTTATTGGAACCTGTGTTATTGCAATAATGAAGGGCCATTAGTTAACTTGCTATTACCATATATGACAGTGTGCTTATTTCATTAATTTTTTTACCTATATAATTTTGTTACTTTGTACCATAGTCACTTTTTGTTGTCAGATTTTATCCCAGGTTCTCTGCTGACCCAGTTATTGGTAAATGTGGAGGAGGTGGCTGTGGTTATCATGGGCTTGGTTAGATCTTCCAGAGTCTCTGGTTTCATGTCAGCCCTAACAGGATTTAGAGAAGCCAAGACTTCTCTGCTGGATTATGTGAGGAATCTAAAGCGGGAAAAGCAGAAGGAAACATTCTCTTGCTGCTCCATGCGCTGCAGTCAGGGGCTGGCTGGGGCCAGGGAGCGGCATGTGGAGATGGGGGAGCAGCAGCCCAAGGCTGTCTGCTCCCCCATGTGTGTGTGCTGTGAAGCCCCCATGCTGGGGCACCCTGTGCCTCAGCCAGCAACCCCCCAGCTGAGGGTGCAATGTATCTTGAGATAGGGGAGCAGGAGCCCTTGTACTGAGGCACCATGCACCCCAGCCAGCTGCTCCCTGGATGGCTGGGCACAGTGTGCCTTGAGATGGGGAAGCAGCCAGCCCAGAGCTGCCTACTCCCCTGTGTCAAAGCACACTGTGCCCAAGCCATCTGGGGAGAGGCTGGCTGGGGTACAGGGTGCCTCAGTATGGGGGCTCCCCTGCCTCCATATTTGTCCTGGCACATGGCATTTTGGCATGCTTTGTGCCACTTTTTTTTTCAGGCATTTTATCTGTAACCAGGAAATCCTGGTAGCAAATTTGGTTCCGGTGCTGCTAATTAGCACTGCCGCACATGGTTTAACATGCAACACATGCGGTTTGTGGCACCACAAAGAGGTTTACGGTGCCACAAACCACACATGCCTGCATGTCTGGATCCAGCCACAGAAGAAATTGTTTCAGAGATGTTTTTTTCTCCTTATGCATTTCTCCTTTCTGACATCGAGATCCTATTGCCACAAGGTGATGCAATATTTCCTCATCATGTTACCTTTGCTCACTGCCTCAGCTGAACATACCTAGCTATTGTGTACACTTATGTCATCACAATTTGAATCACACATCTATATATTGCTATTGGAAATTGGCCAGTGCTGAAGTTGGGATTTCAGCTTGATGATGCCCTGAGATAGTAAAGGGAACCCTCATTCTTAAATACTCGTCCTTCTTGCATACCTAGGTTCAAATCAATTGCAAGATTTGGGATTCGGAAGAAATATTCCCCCAGGTAAGATTGGCATGGATTTTGGACTGCCTGTGGCATGCAACAGTTTAGCTTCCTGAGATAGAAATACTTAGTTTCGCTAAAGTTTGGGGGGCTCAATATAGGACATTTGGATATTACAGCTGCTGTGGATCCTATACATCAAAGCCAAACCTTGTTGTTATATTTTGTCTTTTTACAAGAAAACACAAGTTTTTACAATCATCAGTCCTGGGTTTAACACCAAACCTCTCATTTGCATAAGTAATCTGTGCCTTAATATGAATTTTGAACTGCAGAATGATTTTTACAATAGATATGAAAGAAAACTTTGATAGTAACAAACTTATCAACACAATCCTTAGGGAAGTGCATGCTATGTTATGGACAGTGCAGCATGTGGCCCATCACAATACCTTTCTATCACTTCTGTTTCATTATTAGGATTTAGGGTAAAATTTTTTGTTGCAAACTTACCCCAGCCTTTGGTTTAGCTCCAGAGCCAGCCATTAGACAGGGTGATGCTAGGTCAGCAGCATGAGTATTAGGAGATAAGTTTGTTTGAGAGTGACTTATTGAAGCAACATCTACTCCACTTTCAGAACCAGATTCCAAATCCTGTAAAAAACGGTAGGAGTCTTTTAACAGAGGTGAACATGAAACTATTTAATATATGTTGTTGTGTTATTTAAATGTCTGTAGTTCTTTTAAAAGTGTTTATTTAGGCACATCCAAAAATATACTTTTAAGTTTTGTTCATAACAGCAAACTGCCTTGTTCTTTTTAGTTACATATTCACTCTCCTGCCTTTTTTTCTTTTCAATGACGGTGGTTTGCATTAGCTGCTCTTCTGAAATTATAAATCACCACTAAGATCAAAGCTATAGTTCCCCTAAATGGGAAGGTGCAATGTAAGAAAAAAAATAGAATCAGCCCAGAGATGCAGATGTGCAGCATTTTTCTCTGATGTTTAGTATTTCCTGTGTGTTTTGGGTTTTGCTCCCACTTCCTGCCTCTAGAAGCATTTGCATGCTTAGTGAACATCTGTAAACAGTTACGTAGCTGAGGTGACATCATCATTCAGCAGTTTATGCAATTCAAGGGTGCAGCTTCTTGTTGTTTTAAAATTAATATGAGATGTATTTGCCAAATGTCCCCTTTGGTTAAAGTGACTGCATTTTTAAAGCCAAGGATTATATACATGTTTTGAGACCATTAAAAATAGCAAAACAGTGTGTTTTATTGAGGAAATTATATATATGCTTTAAAATATATGAGTGTGTATGTACATGCACACCCAATCACAGGAGACTAAATGAAGGAATTATAATTGCTTTGGAAATTAAAATTATTTTTAGATCATTTTCACTGAATCACAGTACTCTTGGGCTAAGTATAGACATTTGGGGGTATTAGGAGGAGGTTAAATCAATTCAAAGTGGCTGCCCGATATCAGATAAGTCAGGATGGGGAGATAGTAGTGGCATTGGGGGGCCACGGGGGATGGGAAGAGGTACAACCCATGAGGAGTTGGGCAGGCACGACCTGCCGGTGGGGTGAGAGGGCAGGCGTGACCCATGAGGGGTGAGGGGGGCAGATGCAACCTTCAGGTGAGGGGCAGGTAAAACCCATGGGTGGGGTGGGGGGGGGCAGATACTCCCCCCACTGGGACTTAGTTGCTTAGCTCTGACAGTGGTGGATGCTGATAAAAGCAGCTGCACCCAGAGTGGCTTGTGGGATGCGGGTTGTGAGGGATGGCTGGTCTGGGGAGGAGCAAGGGGCCAGGTAGGGGACAAAAAAGCCCAGTATGGGAGAAGGGTGAGCTGAAAAGACCAGCCCTGGGGCTGGGGCCAGTGGTTGGGTTTTCCCAGACCCAGGGCTGTGCAGGGAAAGTGTACAGAAGTCCCATGCACTGATTTTACCTAAATTGAATAAGTTTGATACTACATAGATCCAGGTTTATCTTAAGCTGGATTCTGCAATTTTTAGACCGGTTTGTGTGCATGGAACTTCTGTACATTTAAAGGTTTAGACTGATTGCCAGTCACTGAGACTGGGCCTGTAATTGTAAGGTCAGCATGGGGACAAGCTAAGTTTAAATCAGGCAACCATTTTGAACCCAATTTAACCTCTCCAAATGTCTACACTTAGCTTTAAACACTAAAGATCCTAGAAAATCAGCGATAGAGAAAAAACATTTAATCAATATACTATAAACAACTAGGCATTTTTTATTTTGAGTGTTCAGGTTAGGCTGTCTCCCTAAGGGTATTTGTACACATACTTGTGCCACAGCACCAAGCACTTTTAAAAGCGCCTGGCGCTGCAGTGCATACATTTGTATAAATGGCGAAATGCACTTCCGCACTGAGAAAATGGTGGCGGCGCACATTTGAACTAAAATACATCAAAGGTGTTTTAGTTCAAAAGCACACCACCGCCATTTTTTCAGTGCTGATATGCATTTTGTCATTTATAAAAATGCATGCGATGCAGCGCCAGGTGTGTCAGCTCGTGTGCAGAGCAGATTTGATTAAGTAAATTTGCTCTGACGCGCCAGATCTGCAGTGCATCAGAGCAGACAAATGTATGTGCATAAATGTCCTGAGGACTTGGACACTCCATTTTGCAATGAAGGGAAGCACCGTCTCTGATTTTTTTTGTAGACATAGGGGAATTTGCACTACCTCTATATTGCCAAGAAGCATATCCCATACATCTTTTCCTCCAAATTAGGCATGTAGCCACTTAAGAATAGCTCTGAAGACCTGACACCAAGAACCTGTGAAGGGTTCTGAGAATGTGCTCAGCAAGTCCTGAAGTGTCTATACTCCCTCAATTCTATAGCTCAGTGTGTCCAAAATGGGAATAGATGAAACACACTTCTACTTCTGGGCAATGTTCTGAGGCTTGGCATGAAGGCAGTGTAGATAAGTCCTTAGTTACTGTACATGTAAACCCACATACAGAAGACCCAACTGGACAATATATGTAATGTGAGAGTGAGTATATTTAAGTGCAGAAACAAGTTTTCAGACACCTAAAGACAAAAAGGGGTTTTACCTTAGTACAACTTTACCTAAGGTCACATCTGTGCTTTCAAAGGAACAAAAGCAAGGAGTACTGCACTGAAGGGACTCATTCCCACGCTACCCCCCAAAATGGATGTAATGTAGCCTTCATAAAATAGCATTGGGGCTAGGGACAGAAGTTGCACATAAACTGGTTTAAGTTATCAGAAACTGGTTTAAATCTGTAAAACAACAGATGTTCAGTGCACTTAAACTGCTTTCAAAATGGCTGAAGCTGATTTAAGATAAACCTGGTTGGATATAGTATCAGACTGATTCAATTTAGGTTAAACCTGTTTATGGAACTTCTGTCCCAGAACCCTTCCTGGCTCAAGTTAACTCACAGTCCCCAGCATCCTAATATGCACATAAACTTCCTCCACCACCTCACTGCCAGCCCTGGGCTGGGGCCTGGCCAGGCACCCTGCTCGAGCGGGGTGGGGGGCAAAGCCTGGCAGAGACTCCCCTCTCAAAGCAGGGAGCAGAGCTGGGGGGAGGAACAAAAGCCCATAAGGGATTGCCTCCTCCTCCCTGAGCAAGGAACAAGGGAGTAGAAGCCTGGAAGGGGCTACCCCTGCCTCCCAAGCACACCCTGGCTGGGGTCCTGTGAGGGCCAAGGAGAGGGTTTAAACTCCCCTTCCCCTGCCTCAGCTTGGTGGCCTGGACCAGGAGCAGGGATAAGCCTGGCCGGGACACCCCTGCCTCCATGGCAAACCTAGGCTGGGGTCCCATGTGGGCCAGGGAGAGGGTTTAAAGCCCCCCCACCTCAGCATGCTGGCCTCAGGACAGTGCCTGGCCACACCTCTCCCCACCTTGGAAGGCTTCTCTCCCATCTTCCCTCCCTTCCCTTTGGCAGTTGTGGCAGGCTTGGAGCTGTGCTCTAGTGCTCCCCAGCTTCTGGCCTGAGTGACTGCAGCCATGTGGCTGAATTTCCAGAATCAAAAGTGAATGTCTGTTCACTTGCTTCTTGGTTCAGTTCATGTAGTGTAGATTAACCTGCAAAGGTTGAACAGATTTAGCCTCCAGCTTTTTGACTGTTTGTACTTAGCCTGGATGTGTGCATATAGCTACTCCCAAGAGAGTGAGTGCATTGGGGCATAGCCAGTGATACACTATAATGGCTCCATTACATCTGTGTGAGTGTGATGAGTGAGGCCCTGGCATGGTGCTTTGATGATACAGGCATTCTCTGAATGTCAACAGCATGTTTATCTACAGCTGAAGTAAGTTAAGAAGAAGAATGTGACACTTAACTAATACAGGCTCCCAGATTTTCACATCGGCACCTTAGTTTTTTCTTCAGCTAAGTGCACACAGCAGCACAGATACACACAAGCCAGTTAGGATTTGCAAAGAGTGCAGGGTAGGTTTAGTTTTAATACTGCAATCGTATATGCCTGCCTCATCCATTGACTGCCAATGCAATTGGAAACTCTATTATCCAGAGTGAAAACAATTATACTTTAAATATGAATTTTAAAATGTTATTTTCTTGAAAAAGAATATACTATGCACTGTATGTGCATAATGAATGATAGGTATTTAAGTACCAGATTTGCAGGAAAAAAATATAAATATGCTAAAGGTAACCCACAAATTAATAACTACAATCCAAAACAACTAGACTAATTTTTAAGAAACTGGCTCCATGTGGCTATATGTTCATATGCTATAAAATGTGAACATTATGTTCATTATGCTAACATGCATTCTTGGCTCTTTATCCATCATTGCATGATTATTTTCAAGCGAGAGTAGTTGCTAAACCCCCAGATCAGTGGTTTTCGATCTTTTTAGGTTCAAGCCACCCCGCAGTAGACTCGAGGTACCTCTTAGAAAACCCCAGGTCTGAGTTTTCACTCATTTTTTGACTATGGCATTTTTCTGTTGCTAAGAACTCCGAAATACCACTACAGGTCAGGTCAGATTTTTAACCCTATGGATTCTTACTTGAAATAATTTGGTTTATCTTGTGAAATATGTTTGCACACTTAACAGTGCTAACACTGTGTGGCATCCTGAGGCACCCCTGAAAGACTGTCACAACCCAAGGGTGTGATTTTTGTTTGTGTGCGCTTCGGCACTGCTAAATTGTTCCTGCTAAATTGCAACTACTTTGCACAGTGGAGTTTTCTGCTGCAGAGGAGAACCCCGGTGCAAAAGAATTCCCACCACCAGTAGCTTTCTTTGCAGGGTGCATTTCTTTGTTGCAGCACAGAACTGCAAGTTGCAAAGAGCTCCCGCCATTTGTATTCAAATTTGTGCCCCACCATTGGCTAGTTCTAAATTATCCCTACGTGGTGCCTAGCGATTGGCTTGCTAGCCATATAAAAAGCTTGAGTGGTTTCCGCCCAAGTTGGAGGACTCCACGAACACCAGGAGGAGGAGACTTCACACTGTGTGAAGATCTCTAAGCGCTGCGGAGCCTATCGGACCCAGCGCATTTAAAGCAGGCAACAGGGGTCTGATCAGCCTCTCCCCATCACCGAGCACAATCCTCGACGTATCCCTCTTCCCTGTGCACAAAAAGATCCACGGAGCCTAGCAAACTTCGTGTGAGTCTATTCAGGGCTCTTCACTTCGAATCCCTGCGCGCAAGTTCCACGGAGCCTAGCAAACTTTGTGTGAGTCTATTCAGAGCTCTTTGGTTCGAGTACTTTCTTCGGTTGGTGCGACGGGCTCGCGGTTTAGCGCCTCCAACCGGACGGGCTAGAAGAGTGTTCACGGGAAGGAACTCTAGTCCACCTCTCATCTTTTCTATCTGTAACCGCAACTCAAGCAAGTTTTCCAGCCTGCACCGCGACCATCTTCGGTGTAAGTAAACAATCTTTAAATCAACCATTAAGCGTCCGTGCCTAATTCTAGTGTGTCGCCCGTTCTCTCCGATCCAGCGTGCCCGGGCTGTTGGCCACAGCCCGCGCAGAGCGAAAAAGGGCCCGGATCGCTCCCGGCGCGCACAGACTCCAGGCATGTTGTGGCACCCTGGTTGAGAATCACTGCTCTAGAATATTTTACAAGGCCATGAAAGACTGAATGCACTTCCACTCATGGAAAGTTTACTGTTTTTATGGCCATCAAATGTATGACATACAGCCATATGTTGGCTGCCTCAGCTGACAGATTGAATCATTATCAAATAACAGAATACAAAGCAAGACAACAGAAATTACAGCTCTATCACTGTCATGTCATATATATTAATCCCACTACGCTAAGAACCCTGATGAGAGCTCTGAAAGATGAAACATCAAGGCTTAGATTCTGTTCTGCAATAATTTTATATATATTTGGTTCACAAAAAAGCCAATTGGAATTACAAATGTGATATCTGACCAGAAATTTTAGACTTAAAGCTGTTTTAAAAGAATGCTAAGTAGAGAGGAACTATAAACCTTAAGTGCAGTAGTCTAAAATCTATTTCAAAATTTCCCATTTTTATTGTAAGCTATATTTAGGCCCTCTTCCACAGATCTTTTCTAATTCTTTGTTCAGGGATTGCCTGGTTCCTTTCTTCCTCACATCAAACATCTATTTTCCTTCAGTTCTCAGAAATAAGCCAGGTTATGGCACCTTTTCAGTTTTATATTATGTTACCTAGCTTTCTATTGTCAAGGCAACAAATGTCCTTTTATTTGAACCAAATTAAGTATTTCCTATTTTCAGAGTATTGAAAACAACACTTTAATTTCCACCCATCTTTTTTTACCCCAAGGGGATAACGTATGCAAGTTACTGTAAAGAACTGACTCTCCATCCTTAGTCAGGGGTCTCAATCAGGTAATATTATGGCGCCATAAAAGAACTGTACTATAACTTCTTTAATACAAAGTAGTTTTACCTGAAAATTGTTAGGCTGGAGACACGCAAGAAAAAATTCTGCAGTCTGCAGAAATCATCACACTGTTTTTTCAGTCAGAAGCAATCAAAAACTAACTTGACTTAGATTTATGCCTTTGTCTTCCCTAGCTCAAAAATCATTTGCTACAATCCCTATTGCAAAACCTTCTTGAAACTGCATGAGTTGGCCATATTTAGAGGAATCTGTAAATCAGGCTAAATTTATCATAATCACTGTAGGGGACATTTTGTATATTTTCTACACCCCCTCATTTCAATGAGTGTTATGGAATTAATTCCAACTGCACTGTCAATGAGATTTTATGCCAGTTTGTTCACTGGTACAGGGATTAGGAGTAATGTGAAATTCATCCCTTCAGAAAGGGTGTCTTCAAAAAGTTTATATATTAATAAAATCCAACTTATGCATAGATAAATGAGATTTAGAAGGCCTTCTCCAAAGTTCATACAGCCCTCTGCCAAGGGGTGGATTTCATCTTTCAGCATAGCTGAATTTGAGATCATTTTCTGTACAATATGAAAACTGGAGTGCAATCCAAACTTAATGAGAGAGATCAAAGAAGGACTTAGGATGCAGCTAACAGCATACCATTTTTTTTTCAGAAATATTCATTGTTTTTGTTGCAATTTCACTTTTACTTGGATTTTGTGAGTTTCAAGCAACAGTTCAAAATATTTTTTATAGTAGTGAGTGTTTAGGCAGCATGTACTACTAATAAAGAAATATTAATGAATTCAGCATGTTAACAATACCTCTATTTTAGGTCAATTAGATATCAAATACCAATCTTTCTATGCTGCATTTGGAATGGATATCATTAATACAATGCAAACATGAATAGAATGATATCATTAACTATATACTCTTCAACTGACTAAATAACTAACATTCAAATATGATAGAAAAGTATACTGCCCATACATTTTAACTCAAATATATGGACAAAATGATAAATTAGAAAAAGGCTCATTTAAAACATGGCATAAAGTAAATGATTGCTGTAAGATTTGAGGAAGAAGCGGTCAGTTTTTTTATAATTAGAAAAGGCACAGTGGGGATAGATAAGATTAGCAAGAAGGCTATATTCTGATATCTCAAACCAGCCCCTGAAAAAGGTAATAGTAATTCTTCATATTATATGTGTAAGTCAATCTTTTAAATAAAGATTTGTTAATCAGCAGCTGAATTGTGTAGTCCCCACAACATAAGAACTTACTCAAATAAAAACAGTATATTCTGGTCAGAATAATAGTTTAATTGAAGAAGGATTTTTAACTGAAGAATAGCCCCTGGCTGGCTCCCTGCCCCAAATCTCTGGACAGCACAATTGTGCAGTAACAAAAGCTGTAGCTAATGCTTATTTTCATGTTAACAATTGCAAATCAAGTGGTATGTACATATACCTACATTGTAATATTATTGATTCCTGTCTGGTTTATCTTAGTGATAAGAGGTAATAGAAACAGTCTGACACCTTTTGAATTTTGCTGATCTCCCTCTCTTTCATCTGTGGCACTTTTAGACTGCTACATGGGTGAATGCCAAAAAGATGCATTGGGTACCAGTACTTACAGGCTCAGAAATGTAAAACAAAATGTAAATAACCAATTTTATTTTGTAGGAAAAATAGTGCAATCTGCAATGAAAAGGCTCATTGTGACAGAGGCAAGCTCCCAGGCCCAATATCAATATCAGCCTTCCTCCTGTCTCTGAGCAAACCGCTTTCCTGCCATGCCTTGTTGTAAAGTAATTGGGATGTTAATCAGGAGGGAGGCTGCCCATTGAGCGCTCTGCTGTAATGGGCGCTATGTACATGCTGTGACCTCCCCTTATACATGTCCCATACCTCACAGATGTCACACAGTGTGTTAAAATTTCTGGCTCAAGGCTGGGTCAAACTGGGCACACAGTTGAGGCTCTCACACACTGCCCTCATGGACCACACACACACTGCCCCCATCTCACTGGGGCCTCTTGCACTTCACCCTCTCTTACAGGGCCTCTATCGTACTGCCCTATCCAGGGCCACATGCATTCTGTCTTGCTCCCTTGAGCAACCCTGTAGGGCCATCAGGCTTCACCCTTCATGGCTTGGCCAGCCCTGGTGCACCCTTCTGGGCCTCTCTTGCAGCCCTCATCTGAATGGGGCTGGGTGATTATTCAACTATGGACCTACTTTGCCCCTCGCTGGGCCAATACGCCCCTCCCTACACTGTGGCCCAGGGTCTTCCACTCCTACAGGCTCAGGTGCTTTTCTTCTTAAGCATGCCTGGCCTCAACTCTGCCCTCTCCACAGGGACTGGGGTCTTACACCCCTTGGGCTCAGGTGCTCCTCTTTGAGTGTGCCTGGTCCATCTCCAGGGTCCAATACCCCATGGGGCTCATGTGCTTCTAAAAAGTGTGTCTGGCCCCCTACCCGCCTTTTACTGGGAAGGTTCTCAGACCTGGCATTTAAGTGGCACTGCCCCATCACAGGCAGTTCCACCGGGCCTCCCTACCCCAGCAGGGTGCAGTTTTTGGTCATGCTCAGGACCATGAGGCCTCCTCCTTCCCTATAGCCTTACCCTTACCCTTGAGATGTCCCTGAAGCAGGAGCTCTGCTGGATGATGTTGCTCCCAGGATGGTTGGTCTCAAACTGCTATCCTAGCCTAGAGAGATGGGCTCTAAAACGGCTGCCCTAATCAGCCACCTGCCGGCTACCTGCTCCAGCCCGTAAAGTGATGGAGCACTAAAGTTGCTCCGCCACACAAAAGAAAGTAAGAAGATACAGAAAGAGAAAAAAATAACTTAATGCATTTAATTAGAATGAAAAAAAGAATAAACAAACAGGCTCACAGGTATGTGCCTCCGTTTGTACGTTGGGGTGCTGGATGGTGAAGAGCCTGTACTGAGAGCATTTTCAATATCCTGATCAAGCTGGTCCAGTTTCATAAATAGCAGCACCATGGAGTCCAATTGTGACCGTTCTCGATCTTCTCTCATTTCCTGAGGAATGGAACACACAATTATTGAATCTGAAAGGGCATTTCTTGGAAAGCATGAAAAGCTCTCTGTTCCCTAATTTTATCAAAAGATATTGAATAATAGGCAGCAAACTCATTTTCTGGAGAAGGAAAGAAAACTGTTTTGTATTGTCAATAGGCCGTTCATTGAGACTGAGTGCAAAAAAAGAACCTTATATGCATATTAAACGCATATACTTTAAAGCAACATGTTATGAAAAAATATATAGTACTATTTATTATAAAACTTTCCTGGTGGCTTATTTTATTCATGCAAATAATATCTTATTTGAAACTATCACATAAGCTTACCCATCTTTTCAACATGAACAGGTTCATTAGTTTTATGTGAAGTAAGGATTTCTTTCCTGGTGACTGATAAATATATATTAATATAAAACAGAAATTCTGAGTGTAAGATTGAAATGTAAAAGTATCCAAGGCAAGCCATTTTCACCTGTGAATGTCTCTGGCTACCATGTCCTATAGCACAGATCAATGCTATTGCATCTTTAAGTTTTATCAATGTGCTTGGAAGAATCAATTATTTGAAGAATTTTGGCCTTGGCTGTAAAACCTTGCTGTACCTTAAACATCCCTGCACTCTAACAAATACAAGCTGTGCTGTCTTCTTCATAGAGTCTAATACTGGGAACAGGACACTCACATTGCCTGTACACAAGTGTGAAGGCTGCTCCAATGATAAATTAAGTCTGCTAGAGTGTGGTAATTACCATGCTTCAGCAGCCTTTTGTGTCTTGTGTATCAAAATGGTGGTGGTGGTGTGTTCAACAAGCTTTAGTTCAAGTGATCCCACCATTATTCTGAAGTGTGGGTAGGACCATCCCTAGAGCGGGTGTGAATCAGGGCAACAACCCTGGGCCCTGCAGAGCCGGGCAGAGTGGCCACATCCAGCTGCTTGCTACACCGCCCCCACTCCCGCCACCGACACCGACACTGCTGCTGCCAATGACTGAGGCTGCTTTTTCGGATCTGGGGTGCATAAGATTGGGGTGGGGGCAGGGCCTTGCATTGGCTGATTCGCCTCGGGCCCACACCCTGCTTGGGTCGGCTCTGAGTGTAGGGATGCTGATACATGAGGCATGTAATTAGAGTGGCTCTCAGAGGCTGGGAAGAGAGAGAGGGAGGGGGAGGAACAGAAACAAGCATAGTGAAATTGGGCCCCAGGAGGGGCTGCTGTTAAGGCAGGGCTGATACCTGGGAGCTGAGGTCTTAAATCAGTGGACCAAGGTGGAAGGTGTGGTCAGAGAAAAAAGGGCCAAGGCTGTTACAGCTGAAGACACAAAAAGCCCTCAGAAGCCTAAAGGACCACTCCCTGGGGGTGGAAGCACTGAGGGAGAAACAAAGGCTCCAGGTGGGGGCTGGACTGGCCAGGCAGATAAGGCTACTTGTGAGGTTACCTCTCCCCCAACAACAAAACAAACATCAAACTCATAGCAGGTGAGAGAAAGAAGGTGAAGTGGCACTGGGAAAGAGCTGTCAAGTGGGGTGGACCACAAGGGTGAACCAGGTGGTAGGGAGTCCTAAACCCTGCTGTGGGATAGAGAGAGAAAAGTTATAATTCCTCCTTTGGAAAAACCAGCAGTTTTGATGATCATCACCAGATATACAGATGTCACATTAACAGCCCTATGGTGCCTTGTTTCATTTTTTGTTACAACTTGACAATGGCCACACTTGTTGTTACAATGGCCATATTTGTTGAAGGGCTCTCTGAATGTGGTGAACCTCTTACTGAATCTGAGCGAATTTTACAGTAAAGTTTACAAGAAGTATGGCTGTAGGTGAAACCATGGCAAGCAATGAGATGGACTAATTGTCATTTTCTTTCAAGTGGGGGTGGGGTGGGGAGGGATATCGTGATGAAAGTCTGCTATAAGCCACCAAACCAGGAGGAAGAGGTAGACAAGGGCTTCTTTAAGTACCTGGTGAAAGCTTCCCTATTGCAGAATCTGGTTCTCATGGGGAACTTTAGTTATTGGGACATCTACTGAGAGGGAAACACAGCAGTGCAAAAGCAGTTCAGCAAGTTCCTAGAGTGCTGTAGCCTCACCAGCATGCGGTAACAAAGGCATGAGCCCTAGGCACTGACTTAGAGAGGATGCCAGTTAATACCTCACCCCTTCAAAAGTCTTTCCTGCAGCAGACACAAAGTTGAGCAGTTTATCTGGAGTGGGAGGAGAGTGGAATGATGCCCTCCAATTCTGAGACTTTGCCATGAGAGGTGCAGCCTTGGCTGTAGAGGCTGGGGACTAATGTGGCACCAGGCATTGCTCCCAGGAGCCTGCACTGCTGCCTGTTGCTAAGACAGAAACTACAGCAATAGTAGCTGCCACTCAAGTGAAGAGAGCCTGGGCAGGTAAAACTACCTCCCTCTCCCCCTTTCCCCCACAAATCTCCAGTAGCCAGTAGAATTCTGCACTCCATTCCCCAGTCCTGCCCTAAACGCTGAAAGAATTTGTTACCCTTTTTTGGAGTGTATTGGGGATAACTTTTTGATGCAGATGGTAGACAGAACAAATAGAGGGCAAGCTCTTCTTAACTTCCTGTTCATAAACAGGGAGGAATTTGTTTGAGAATGTGAAGGTGGAAGGCAACTTCGGTACAGTGACCATGAAATGATACAGTTCAAGATCCTAAGTAGAGGAAGGAAGGAGAGAAGCATAATAAAGACACTGGGCTTCAGGAAATCAATAGGGAACTGGTTGTTGGGATCTCCTGAAAGGCAAGTCTGAGGAGGGGAAAGGAGTCCGGGAGAGCAAGCTGTACTTTGAAGAAGCACTCTTAAGGGCACAGGATCAACCTATCCCTATGCAACAAAAGAATGGGAAATTCAACAGGAGACCAGCCTGGATAGACAGAAGTTTCTTCAAAGATTTCAAATCCAAAAAGGAATCCTACAAAAAATCAGAAACTTGGTCATAGTACTAGGAAAGATTATAAGAGTGTCTCATGGGCATTTAGGGACAAAATTAGGAAGGCCAAGGCACAATCTGAGGTGCAAGTGGTGAGGGATATAATAGGCAATATAAGGGGATTCTACAGGTGTGCCAAAAATAAGAGAAAGAGCAAAGAAACCATAGGTCCCTTATGAAATGCAGAAGGCAATTTAGTTATGTAGGATGCAGAGAAGGATGAAATATTTAATATACTTTTCATAAAAGAGGCAAACTAACAAATGACAAGTGCAGTTGGCAGCAAGGACAGGGAAGGAGACAAACAATCTAGAGTAGTGGCAGAACATGGTAGGGACTGCTTTGAGAAGTTAGATGCTTTCAAGTCAGTAGGGGGAGATGGGATGCACTGTAGGGTACTGAAGGAATTGGATGAAATAATTTCAGAGCCATTTTTGAGAAGTCATAGAGATCAGGCGAGGGACTAGATACTTGGAAAAAGACAAATATAGTGCCCATTTTTAAGAAAGGGAAGAATGTAGATCCAGGATGCTACGGAGTCTGTCTGCCCTTGATACCCAGAAAGATCATTGAGTAGGTCCTCAAGGAAGCACTTGGAGGAGAACAAGGAAGAACCAGTATGGATTCAGCAAAAGCAAGTCACAGCTGACCAGCTGTGATAAGCTTCCTTTTGTGATAAGCTCTATGGTAACAGGCTCTGTGGATAGGTGAGAGCAGTGAATGTGATATATTTTTTGACACTGTCTCCTATGACATTTTCATTAATAAGCTAAGAAACTACAGAACAGATGAAAGTACTACAAGTTGGATACTTAACTGATTGGATCACCATGCTCAATGAGTGTTCATCAATGCCTCAATTTCCAGTTGGGAGGAGGAATCAAGTGGAGTTCCCCAGGGGTTTGTCTGAGTCTGACATTGTTTAATATATTCATTAATGATTTGGACAATGGGGTTGAGTGCATGATTAGCACATTTGTGGATGACACTAAGTTGGGTGGAGTTGCAGGCACTCTGGAATGTAGGGCTATCCAAAACGACCTGGATAGACTGGAAAAATGGTCTGCAATCAACCACATGGGATTCAGTAAGGACAAGTGCCAAGTCCTGCACTTGGTATAGAATAATTACATACATAAATACAGGCTGGAGAAAGATAGGCTAGGCTGCAGTACTACAGAGAAGGACCTGGGGGTTATGATAGACCATAAGAGAATGTGAGTCAACAGTGTGCTCTTGCAAAATAGGCAAACAGCATACTGGTTTCAATTAACAGGAGTGTCACTGGCAAATTGAGGGAAATGATTCTCATCCTCTATTCATCACTGGTGAGCTTGACCTGGAGCCTGACCTGTTTTGGGCTCCCCACTTCAGAAAAGATGTGGACAGATTGGAAAGTGTTCAGCATAGAGCAACAAAAAATAAGCAGATGCCTGAATGAATGATTTATGAGGAAAGGCTGAAAAAACTAGGGTTATTTAGTTTGAAAAGAAGACTGAGGGGGGAATCTGACAGCCATCTTCAAGTACTTGAAGGGGACTTGAAGAGACATTGGTGATGGACTTTTCTCTGTGGCTGAAGGGGATAGGACTAGAATAATATCCTCAAGGTGCAGCAGAGGAAATTTTGATTGTTGATTAGGCAAAACTTGCTGATAATGAGGGTGGTCAAGCATTGTAACTGGCTACTTAGAGAAGTTGTGGAATCTCCATCCTTAGGAAATTTTTAAGAGTAGTTTCAACAGACACTTGGCTGGGGTGGTTTAGTCCAAGATTATCCTGCTCTGAGCAGGGACCTGGACTAGATGACCTTGTGAGGGCTGTCTGCCCCTACTTTCCTAAGGTAAAAACACCAAGAAATTTCTGCAACCCAAACCCCTCTGTTTCTTAGTTTTGCTTGATGATTCTGGACTTCTTTATATGGGGAACAAAATAGTGTTGTATCTCCAACCTATCTTGCAGAAAGCCAAATGCATGGTGAAATCAATGTGATTTAGCTGATCAAGGAGTTGGAGGAGCTTCCACCTGTCATGGGGCTATGCTACATT